AGAAAGAAAACAATTACTCAAAAATAAATAAATAAGTGAGACGGGTAACCCGGCATAACATGGTGGGTGCTCCGTGCACGGGCATTTCCTTGACAAGGCAAGGATGGCAGGGTAGAAACTCACTCTCCCACCCAGCACCCTCCCTGCTTTCTCTTCCTGTCGCAATGCGGTGCCAGTTCCCCAGGAGTGGCTGGCAGCTGCTGTGCTGCCTGCTGCCTCCTGCCTGCTGGCTAGCGTCCAGGCCCAAACCAGAACCGAGAACCGAGAACCGCCCCTGTCCCGGGAGCAGCCTACTCCCTGTCTTCCTCCCTCCTCATTCCCACTCACCAACCCCCACTCCCACCCTCCATGCCTTCCCTTCTTTCTTTAGTGACTTCCCCGCCTCTCTTTGTATTTCTTCTAGACATCATTCCAGCCCACTGGAGAAGAATAAAACAGAAGCCTCCTCCTCATCCCTTTCTATTGTGGCGGTGCTCACAGCCCCCTCCTCGGGGAGCACTCCCACCGTATGCCCAGCTGAGAGCCAGGCCTGCCCATCCTCTGCTCATGAGGCTGAGCCTGTGAGAGGAATGGGCATTTCACCAGAGTGAAAATACCACTGATTTAGGAAGCAGAGCTGGGGAACTGGCCTGATCTCCCAGCTCTGTTATGGATCTCAGGCGGGAGCGGAATCATTCTGGACTTTCTGTCTTTTCCCACAAACATGGACCCATTCACCTTACTCTAGGGTCTTGTGCCACTAAGGCTGAGGCCACAGAAGAAACCCTGCTAGACCAGGATGTCAGTAGTGTCCTCTCAACAGTGACCTGGGCGCAGGCCCTCTCTCTTGGGAAAATGCCTCATCTAGCACCCCACGGCCACCACTACCTCAGGGCAGGAAAACACCCCAGCAAGCCTCATTTACTGAGAGCTTACTGTACCTCAGGCACTGTGCTTTGACCTTTACATGCAGTGCCTCATTTAATCTTCACCACAACCTTTTGAGGTCAATATCATTGTGTTTCCCACCTTTTACAGATGAGGAAACTGAAATGACTTGCCCAAGGCCACATGCATGTCAGAGGCAGGATTCGCACACAGATATCTCTAACTTCAAAGCTGGTGTACTTTGATCACCATCCTGTCTCAGGACAGAAAATGTACAAACCAAAAAAAAAAAAAAAAANCAACGTCCTCCACAACTAGACTGAAGAACAACAACAAAAAAAACGACAGCAACTTGTCTGTTCCCCTTCCCCCAATTCCCCAGCACTGTTCCCATGCCCCCAATTCCCCAATAAAAATCTTTAAAAAAACAAAAAACAAATAAAACCATCTATGACAATAGGAAGTAATACACCTTAATTCATGACTTGGTGTTTTAAACACACACACACACACACACACACACACACACACACACCTGAAAGTGTGTGAAGCAATGCTTTGTCTTACAATGTGCAATGCCTCCTGTAAGTGATTCTATTCTATTTTGCTCAAAAATATATATATTGGTCCTGACCCATGAATTGATTTCATAACTCATTAATGGAGCAGAATTTGCAGTTTAAAAGCCACTAAGCTGACAGACTGGGGAAAATATTCGCAAAACATATACCTGACAAAGAGCTGTATCCAGCATATATAAAAAACTGTTACAAATTTTTTAATGAAACTAAAAGAAGGAGGAGGAGGAGGAGGAGGAGGAGGAGGAGGAGGAGAAAAAACAAGAATTTATTTTAAATGGGCAAAAACTTGAACAGGCACTCACAAGAGAAGATGTAGTAATGGCCAATAAGCACATGATAAGGCATTTAACATTAGTAATCATCAGGAAATGAAATACCATTAATACCCATTAGAATGACTGAAGAGTCAACAACTGACAATATCAAAAGTGGACAAGGACTTGGAGCAACTGGGACAGTCCTATATTGTTGGTAGGAAGGCAAAATACCTAGCCACTTTGGAAAACAGTATGACAGTATTTCATAAAGTTAAATACATACTAACCACATGACCCAGCGATTACAGTAATGTACAGCATCATTATGCATATGAGCCGGATACTGTCAACAGCACAAATGTCCGTCAATAAATGAATGAGTCAACCAACTGTAGCATATCAGACAAAAGAATACTACTCAGCAATGAAAAGAATGAAAGAGGAACACTTGCAGCATGTACGAATGTCAAAAACATTACGCTAAATGAAATAAGACAAACGCGAAAGACTGCAGACTATGATTTCGTTTATATGAAATTCTGGAACAGACGAGATAATTGTGCCATAATGCAAATCAGTCATTACCCGGAGTGGGGAGGCTGACTGCAAAAGGCTCAAGGAAACATATAGGATGATGACAATGTGACTATCACCGTATACAATTAGCAACATTCACCAAACTCACACCCAAAATGAGTGAATGTTATTATATATAAATTATACGTCCATCAAACTATTTTTAAAACCTTGGAGATAGACTATCTAGGGGGAGAGTAAGCCAGACCAAGGAGTTTACACCATGCTATGCCTAGGCCTGAGAGTCATGGGGAGCCATGCAGGGTTTGGAGCAGGGAAGTGTCATGGTCCAATTTGTGTTTAGAGCCGTCACTCACACAGGCCACTGTGGGGACAAAGGACCTGGTGAGAGGAAATAAGGGCCTGAACTGAGGAGTTGGAGAGGAGCTGGAGCAGGGGGCTATTTCGGTATTTGAAGAGGATCTGAAGACAGATTAGAATGGGGGGGCGGTGCTGGGAAGCAACGGCGGCGGGGGCAGAGAAAGACTGAATGCATCTCATGTTTCTGCCTTAGCAACCAGGTGGATGACGATGACGGTGTCTTCAGAAGGCAATCAGGCTTGGGGGGGGAGAGGATGAGCTCAGGCTGTGACATCTTGTGTCTGAGGGGCTGTGGGCCATCTGTGAAAATGTTGGGAGATGGGAATTTTCATTGGTCCAGGCCTCAGAAGAGAGATCTGGGCTGAACGCAGGGCCTTGGGAGTCACGGTGAAGACTTGGGAGAGAGAGAATGAGAAGGGGGTGGGAAATTCAAGAAAAGAGAGTTGAAAACACCATCTTGGAGAACACTAGTATTAAGCGTGAGTTCAAAGTGAAATAAGTCAGGATGAGAAAAACAAATACCATATGATCTCACTTCTATGTGGAATCTAAAGAACAGAATGAATGAGCAAACAAAACAGACATAGACTCATAGATACAGAGAACAAACTGATGGTTGCTAGATGGGAGAGGGGTTGGGGGATGGGTGAGAAAGGTGAAGGGATTAGGGAATACAAATTGAAGTCACAAAATAGTCACGGGGATGTGACATACAGTCTGGGGAATATAGTCAATAATTTTGTAAAGACTATGTGGGGTGCCAGATGGGTACTGGACTTATCAGGGGGATCACTTCATAGATTATATAAATGCCTAACCATTGTGCTGTACACCTGAAACTAATATAAAATAATATTGAATGTCAACTATATATATATATATATATATATATATATATGATGTAAAGTACAACATAGGGAATATAGTCAATGGTATTGAAATAGCTATGTACTGTGTCAGCTGGATAGTAGACTTCGGGGGGGTATCACTTTGTAGAGGGGTGTAAATGTCTAATCATTATGTTGTT